TATATATATATATATACAGTATATATGTGTGTGTGTGTGTGTGTTTGTCATGACAACTCTCGGAGGGATTTGCATGGTTATATATGACAATGTTAATGTATTTGCTCTTGGATCTGCTACGCTGCTGCTGCTGTTGCGGCAGAACAAGTATCGAAACTTGCTACTGCCAATCAGAGGTGGACAATAACTAAGTACATTTACTTGAGTATTGTACTTAAGTACACTTTTTGAGTATTGGTACTTTACTTGAGTATAATTTTTTCTGGGAACTTATTACTTTAACTTTACATTTGAAAGACAAATATTGTACTTTTCACTCCACTACATTTCTATCAAGGTCCTCGAAGTAGAAAGTCGTTACTATGTAGCAGCTTTGAAAGTCAGTGGGTGATTTTTTTCTTCTCTAAAACATGACTTTCTTTTTTTCAGACAGTTTATCAGTAATCACTCTTGTAGGGCTACATGAAGTGATTTCCCAGCATTTTTTGAACACTGACCAATTGCAAATGTGATTTTTATTTAAAACAATTCAATAATAAGAAGTTAGTATTGTGGTATATATTAGGGGTGTTAAATATTTTTTTCCCCATAGGTTTTTAACATTATAAAAGCTCTTTATTCCAAAGATACTACAAGCTAGTCAGTGTATTCAGTAGGTGTAATGTATTCTATGTTGCTTCAAAAGTATTGCAAGTATTACGTACAACAATAAAACAGTGCATTGACATAAAAAAGGAAATTTACTTTTGGTACTTAAGTACTTTTAAAAGCAAGTACTTCGGTACTTTTACTTAAGTAAAAATCTGTCTTTACAACTTTTACTTGTAATGGAGTAATATTTGACCAGCAGTATCTGTACTTTCACTCAAGTAATGGAATTGAGTACTTTGTCCGCCTCTGCTGCCAATACATCCACAACATGCTGCTGTGAGCATGTAAAGAATATTGCTGCACACATAACATATATGAATAACCCTCGTCTATACAGGTGGACCTGTGTCAGCAGGTGGAGCTGAAGGTGGAGGGAGGGCCTCTGAAGTGTGCTGCAAACTGCTACCACAAGCATTAGCCAAATATTTGAATGTTGAGCAGAGGGCTCATTGGCTACAGATACAGTACCAGAGAACCAATCAGCTGTGCCATGTGATACTGATGTCATTATGTCATACTGAGTTAGATCTATCAGACTGCGCCATCTAGAGTTTCATACCAGAACTTTGAATGTATATATATATATATATATATATTAGGGCTGTGCAATATATCGAAATTATCGAAATATCGCAAATGTACATATCGCAATATACATATCGCTACAGCTTGCAATATTTGGGGCCATGAACAAAAGACAAAGAGAAAATCACTCACTGCTCTTACCTAAATAACGTTTGTAGCTTAAATAAGAATCAGTGCATAGTGAATTCAAAGAGAAAATACTAAGCAGTGTTTTATTTTATTTTTTTATTATTCAGTTCCTAAACTCATGTTAAAATGATTACACTAATGTTAAAATTACATTTTTATGTAATGCTCAAGTAAAACATTACTGTTCATTTATAGAAGTTGTTGTGCTCAAGTAAAACATTACTGTTCATTTATAGAAGTTGTTGTAGGGGTGCTTTCTTATTAGAATCAGAATGAGCTTTATTCACCACTTAAGTGTGCGCAAACAAGGAATTTGTTGCGGTTTTACAGGAACTCTTGGTACGTGCATACAAATAACCATATATATATATATATATATGACACAAGATAGTTATAGAAGTTCACAGAACTGACTCGGCAACAGCTGAGTAAAACTGTTTCATCTGAGCATGTGGCACTTTAAGCATTATCGTATCGCATATCGAATATCGCATTATTTAATGAGTTATCACATATCACATTTTTCTTCAATATCGCACAGCCCTAATATATATATACTGTATATATATATATATATATATATGTGTGTGTGTGTGTGTGTGTGTGTGTGTGTGTGTGAGTGTTATATTTTGGGGCCTTTTATGCCTTTATTTGATAGGACAGTTTGAGAGCAGACAGGAAAGCATTGGGTGAGTGGAGCAGAGAGGGGGGCAGGATCGGCAAAGGACCTCAAGACAGGAATCAAAGTCAGGTCACCGTGACCGCAGATGTGCTATATATCGGTGCACTAACCACAAGGCTTGGCACTGACGGTCAGCTTGTATATTACATGAAAATTTCACTGGAGATAAAATGTCATTCCTCTCAGTCCCAGTAATAATGTAATAACAATAATACTGGCTGAATAAAACTGCACCGGGAGCTGCCATTTAAGCTCAAACTACTCCAGTGCTTATGGCCAGAATCTAACAAGCTTGAATATTTACCCTGACAGTCTGTGTCCTGTTCCTCATAAAGCATGCCGATCCCAGTGGCAGAAAGGATGGGCATGTCCTAGATTGTTTATAGTACAGCCTGAGCTTAAGTCAAGGAAGAGAAGTCAGGGAAGTGTAAAATCTGTCAGTGTGTACTCTGTATGTGTATTATGTTTTTGAACAAGCTCTTCTCTGTTTTGATGTATCACTTTGAAACATAAAGATATTTACATCATCGTGAGAGGAATTTTACATTTCCATAAGCTTTTTGGTAACCTTAATCCAACCTGGACAGTTCTTTGTTAAAAAAAAAAAAAAACCTCTATAAAGTAATTATTAACATGATTACGCACGTAAAAGCAATGGCATTTTCCCTTCTGTAAATGTCACATGTTTCTCAGAACTTTTTAAATTAGATTTATCACTTTTTTTTTCTTTTTTTTACTGATTTTCAGGACACGAAAAAAAAAATAGAACAGTTAACATTTAATTTAGTTAAACATTTTCCAGCACTAAATGAAGTAAATAACACCTATTATATTACCTCTGATGCTACTAATAAGCTATTTGAAGTCATCTCACATCTCATCATATTATACTTGATTGTACATAATGATGCCAGCAGGGGTCAGTTAATAGTAATGGAGTCCTTGAATTCAGAGCTAAATGAAGTGCTTTAAGAGGAACATTTAGTGTAATCACACAGGATGCAGCCTATTCTGATATCTATTACACTTGAGAGTGGCTCTATCATGTCCTCCATATCCCTCCACTACACTACAGGAAAATTAGGGATTATCAAAGCATGTGATCAGACTAGTTCTAGATGAGACATAAGACACTTGACAACCCTAGATGAGAGGAAACATTTACTTGAGAGTGCAAAAAAAGGGTACAATTTTCATTTTTTTTTTTTTTACTCAAACATAAAATAAAGCAGATGGAACTACTATTTGTCAAATATGGAATCAGAAGAACATACGCTCCTCCAATTAATGAAATTGCCTATGTCTGATTGGTCTGTTGTGTTTCATTGACAGGTACTTTGCTGAAACATAAAAGAAAAAGGTCTCTGATTGATTGGGCACTGAGGAGGGGACACTTTAACCAATCCGATGGCCAGTCTGACCCACAAACTGCCTCGCACAAGCTATTTGGCCAGCCTCTTTCCTCCATTTGTCCTGATGGAAACCTGCCTAAACCAATAATGGTAAGGCTATTACTGTCTCTGGATCTTTTTGTTTCACTATATTTTGTCATGTTGGGTCTTATTGTCTCTGAGCACTTATCATTCATGGTTCTTTCACTGAGCCAGAGGTTTAGTCACTATGAATGATGAGCGCTCATGGACAATAAAACCCAACATGATATTGCTTTTATATAACAGTTCAACTGCACAAGTGTGTAGATAAATAAGAAACAAGAACAGTGTCTTGTGTGCTGAACTACTTCCTTCAGCCACGGATCCATATCTCAAGTTGAGAGTTTAATAGATGAGCCCAAGCCTCCCATACTAATTAGAAAACATCATCTTAGATCTAGTAATGAAGGAATGTGGAGTTGTTTCATTGAAGTTAAAAGTATTATGTACAAAAAAGTGTATTATGTTTAAAGTTATATACTGTAAGCTATATGCTAAATGTATTATGAGGGAGATATCGACTGAGTGAGTCTGATTACCTGTATAGGATGCAGCATTTATTCTTCAGGTCAATGTCATGTTCATAATGAATTTTTTTTTAAATGTCCTCTCAGGAAAACAGTACCTTTGTTGTGGTATGCCTTCATCTGATTCTATTTACTTTCAACTGGGCTTTCCCATGGCAGCGATGGTCAATGAATATTCTGGTTGCGTCTTACAAGATAACGTCCTTGTTTATCTTGTGTTAGTCCCTTTCAGTTAGTCCCTTTTAGTGGTTAGGTAAGGTTAGGTTCATTTAAGGTAAGGTTTGTCTATCATTAGCTTAGAACAGGGTTTGTGAATGGATGAAAAGCTAAAAATGAATGAAATCGTAACAATACGTAATATAAAAAAATCTAAACTCTTACAAAAAAGTTCATTATTTAAAGAATTATCTTTTATTTTTATTTTTATTAATTACCTTACCTAATTATATATATGGGGTACTCCAAGTAAATGTTTTAGGTGAAAGGGGTTTGCCTGACTAAAACTGTGTGTGTTTGTTTGTTTGTGTGTGTGTGTGTGTGTGGGTGTGTGTGCACAAAGGACCTGCTGTATCTGCTGTTCTGTGAGGGTCCAGAGACCCGTGGAATCTTCCGTCGTTCAGCAAATGCCAAAAACTGTAGGATCCTGAAGGAGCGAATGAATGCTGGGCAAAGTATTTCACTGCATGAACAATCAGTGTTCGTCTCTGCATCTCTAATTACAGTGAGAACACAATCATTTTAATTTAATTTCCTCTTTGCCCTGTATATATATATATATATATATATATATATATAAATATATATACATTTCTTTGAATGGGCTTTTTATTCTTTATTAAACTGTGTGTATAGGAGTTTTTACGCAAACTGCCTGGTGGTGTTTTGTGCTGTGACTTATATGAGGACTGGATGGAAGTGCTACAGAGTGAAAATCAACAGGATAGACTTAATAGAGTCAGATGGTAAGAACAGCATACAAACATGCATATGTCTTGTACATATGCTCACACATACACACTATACTCAATGTATAAAGTGTATAGACTAAGACCATGTTTTATTTATTAACTCCTTTCTATATCCTATATTATCTATATTTTTTACCAAAACAAATACGTAGATTAAAGATTTGATTCAGTTCAGTTCAATTCACATTCATTTGTATAGCTCTTTTCATGATCTGCAGGCATTCCTACATGCCATTTACAGGTATAAAAACACCTTTTTTGTGCATATAGGTAGATGCTGAAACATAAAACATGTATGTACTGGCAGCATCTAAAGCATAAGCAGTATTACGTATTTACAGCTATAGAAACATAAAATATTTATAATTTGTATCATAAACATATATAGCTACATTTACAGTTTTACAGTTATATTTTAGATGCCTTAACCCTATCCTCAATCATTTGTAATATAACATAAAGCTTTATAAAATGTTGTGAATATGTATATAACTGTCAATAATTTACATATTTGCTAAATGATTTATTTGCCTTTTTTTGTCAAGTGACAAATTTAGAATTTTTAACTCTAGATTTTTTTTTAAACACGCGGTCTTAAAAGGTTGTAGACGATTGAAAACAATCTCATTATTCATAAATAGTATAGTTTGAACCAATTAATTGCATTAATGAAATATTCATAGACCGTAACAATTTTACATGTATAAACCACATTTTACATTTTACAAAGACAGAGTTAGGGTTATGCATTCTTCTAGACAACGTTTGAAACTGTATTTTTTAGCACTACAAAATAATGGAGCCCAGAATGGACAACTCTGAACAAGTTTGAATAAATTATCACATTGTAAATCTGTACATGGTGACATAAGTGTGAATTGCATCTACTGAAACTTGTTGTTTTATCTTTTTGTGTGTGTGTGTGTGTGTGTGTGTGTGTGTGTGCGTATTTGTGCTGGAATGCATTTCCATATGTATGAGAAGGCAGACAAACTTCCGCACATAATCATTTGTTGGCAAGATTATTTAATTATGTGTTTTATGTTTCTGCCTGTCTGGTTGCAGTTATCTGCCATTCTTCAAGCTCTATTGTCTTTTTGTTTAGTTTGCTTGCACAGTTGCCGGAGGAGAATGTTACTTTGCTGTGTCACTTATTTGGAGTGCTACACAGGATACACACTCACTCAGAGGTGAATCAGATGACAGCTACAAACTTGGCCCTTTGCATTGCACCCAACATGCTCTGGAGGACTTCCCAAATCAGCCCTGACAAAGAGGGACAGAGCGTTCTGCAGGTAAAAATCTGGTTACATGTATTCTTAGTAAAATGATCCATTTACACGTGTTTTCTCACTTCTTTAAAGGGATAGCATACAACACATCCATGAACAGTTTATTTAAATATTTAGTTTTAGGTTAAAAGTAATATATACAGTGGGGATCAAAAGCCTGAGACCTCTAGTAAAAATGGTTTGTCATTGCAAATTATATTAAGAGCACAATTTTGGCGAAAAATTATTTTCAGAATTTTTGATCACGTTCTCTGCCATTATTTGAGAATGATCCAAAGAGTATCATATGCTTAAAAATACCTATTTGATTAGTGATCTCGAAATCATGCAGAATCTAAAGTGTTTCTTTTATTTTACATCACATCAAAACCTGTTGATTTTTTAAGGATTTCAATTGTATTTACTTTCCAGTTTAAATGACGTTTAAATCCCTGATTTCAGTGAGCTCTCAGACTTTTGAACCCCACAGATTATGTAAGGGAAATTGTACCGATTCCTATCATGACACAGTGAACCAAAAAAAAAAAAAAAGCATTAGAATCAAGAACTATATAGCTATATTAGAGACATAAACCTGAAATTAAACAAAAAACCTACATCACTGTGACAATTCATGGGTATGAAAAGAATTCTTAATATAGCTAGTGGCCACTTGGCTAATCACTTGGATAATTATATCAGAATTTGGAAACTGTTCTTTGAAACAGCTTTACAAGTATATGTATTCGATCATTAACTGCACCCACACACTTATTCTCTTGTTCAGAATTAGAAGCAGTTCAAGTTCAATGGTGGGGTTTTGGTTCAAATCTAGGTTAGAATCAACCAAAGGATTCTGGATTTTTTTGAAATCAAAATAATGACTTTGTTCAACAATTTCTTCTCTTCCGTGTCAGTCTTCGCTGCGCGTTCAGCCTTTAAAATCTGTTGAAAATGACAGTATGCCCTAATTTTCCAGGAAAAGGTGTCTGTATTTATAGCCGCCATCGTGGAACTACATTACAGCTATATATTAATAGATTGTTTTTGATTATTTGTGTATTTGATTGTTTCATTTTCCAATTAAATCTTTTAAAACATTTTTGACATTTAGAAAAATATGTTACTTTTTTTGTAAAAAGATAAGCTTAGTTTACAAGTGACTTGAAATTAACTAGTAAATTAACTACTAGTTAGCAAACAATAAAAAAAGAAAAATTTTTGTTAAGCCCATTTTTGTAGTTTATTTACCATACGCTCTAAAAAATTCCAACTGTTGGGTTTAATTTTTACTTTAAATTTTTAACCCAAAAGTTGGGTTAGTCCAAATTTGACCCAAAGTTGGGTTGAAATAACCCAGCATTTTTGAGAGTGTAGTATTTTAATAGTTAACATCTAGTTGGCTGGGTATTACTTCAGAACTGAGAACTTTTTTTAATCAAAAGCTTACTGAAGTGTTTTGGAAGGTAATTTTTAGGTCTGAGATATTTATTGAAAGGGAAAATCAACTGGGGTGACAGAGAATAAGAAGTTTCTTGGTCTAGATATAAAAGCTTTTCAGTTAGAAAGAGGATAAACATTTCAACCATACACAGCTGGCGGCAGCTGCTGCTAGTGTTTGATCATAACAGCAGGGCACTGGTAGCACAGCAGTCCGCAATCAGAATCTAATGTATAGGAAGCCTATGAAAAGACCTGATGTGGTGATCTCTGTGTGATTTTGAGAGATTGAATATGAGATTGGGAGAAATTGGGAGGGAGCAGAGCTCAGCTTTGTCACGGTTGAGCCTGAGATGATTGACATCAGAGTTGTGAGATTGGAGAGAAAGGTGAGGAAAAGGAATACTAAAGTATGTGTGTCATTTAAACTCCTTGCAATAATTTAAGGTACATGCCGGGCATGTGAAGGACATGTGAATGAAATTCCACCTTGTGAATAAAAGCATAACACGGTGTGTTGTAGGGATGGGCGATATGGGTTTTAAAATATATCACGATATATTTTTATATTATTTATTGCGATAACGATATCAATGACGATAATTTAGGGAATCCTGTTTCTTTAGAGAAAAGTATTATCTTTCCTATTTTTACCCAAAATAGGGTGTTGTGAGCATTACTTTAATCGTTTAATTCATACTGGAAGCCACAGGGTGCCCTTGCGCAGAAACTCCACATATGCATAGTAGAAGTAATGCTCCAAGAAGAAGTATCCAGTGATCGCTGTAGCTGAATAAAACGCAGATAAAGAAAATTTAACTGAGGAAACCTGAAGACAATAAACATGCGATTGCACAAAATATATGGTATCTGTGTTCTTCAAGCAATCTTGAGTATTTTTTATAAGGATAAAGTATATTTATAATACAATGCTAATCGACATAGCCTTTATCACTGTATAGAATGCTATAAAATAGTATGATTTCTGCCTTATTCTGTGATACGAAACCACGTCTGATCACAAAAATAAGTTATTTCAAAC